TAGTGTAGTTATTGGGTGCTTTCCATTTGATGACACAAGTCGACACAAGTGTCATTCTATCGTTATCACTTTCTGAATGTCAAGAAGGATAGAACGACGCTTGTGTCGACTTGTGTCAACTTGTGTAGTTGTGCCATCAAATGGAAAGCATGCATTGTTGTCAGATTAAATTTTCACTATTTTCAGTCCTTAGTTTACACCGACTTTTTTCATTGTTTTATATATATATATATATATATATGTATATACCCAGGTAGCAAGCTACGTCATTTTGACGTCATTTTGACGTCAGCTTGCTACCAGGGTATGCTCATAACAACTAGCAACTTTCTATTAATTTAATACACATTACATGTATTTAATTGATTATCTTGATATTTAATGTATTATTTTAGTTTTTGGTACACCATTCTTTGAATACAGTACGCACACTGCCGATATTAAAATAATTTTATAGGAAATTACTAGTTAGTATGAGTATTGAACGATCAGCGTATAAACTAAATATAATATATAAATAAATAAAAACATGATTTTTGCAACATACAATTATTTTTTTGTTTATTTTTTACAATTTCTTTTCCAAATCACATGTTTTAATTGCGGTGTTTTTAAACAGTTTTAAACAATAGTTTAAAAACGTTTAAAATAAAAGTGTTTTAAACAATGCCCAATATTTTAAACATGTTTTAAACAAGCCGTTTTAAACGTTTTGTTTAAAACATAACAACCCTGGATAATCATTAAAATTTTTAAAGGTTTACATTTTTCAGGATACACTTTATATGTATGTTCACTTTGAACTGGCACTTTGATAATATATCAAATACTTTTTATGGTAATATATTATCAGATAATCATTAAAATTTTTAATGCTTTACATTTTTGAGAATACGCTTTATGTATGTTCACCTTGAACTGGGACTTTGAATAATATATCAATTACTTTTCATGGTAATATATATTGTTACATAATTTCAATTTTTATATGTATATTGTTACATAATATGTTATCAGATAAAAGTGTAAATTTTTAAAGCTTTTTTAGAATACGCTTTATGTATGTTCACCTTGAACTGGGACTTTGAATGATATATCAGTTACTTTTCATGTATTTTCAATATATATTGTTACATAATAATTTCAATTTTTAAAAGTTTACATTTTTGAACATGACCTGATCTTTTCATTGTAATGTATACATAATTTCAGTAGAACAAATCATATGTATCACATATTATGTATCACAAAAGAATACATTACACAAATAGTTATACATAACTTGCATGAATCACATTGCATACACTGTGAGAACCTAGTACAATTAGGTACAGATCGGAACTTACAGTGATGGAATGGGAATACGGACGTTGAGCTGTGAGCAACATCTCAAAGACAGAAATATCTTTCTATCCACTTCTATCCTCTTTTGGCACATACGCAGAAAAAAGAAAATTTACTGAGCAAGACAAAAATATATATAGTAGGGGAAAGCTCCGATTGCACACATTACATGTTGCACACATGCGTCGTTAATAGGCTAATTTAAAAATAAAATATTCTTATTGGTAAATCAGTGAAAAATTACCAGGCATCAGCTGATATGAGTGGTGTGTGCAATCGGGATTGTAGGCAAACGGTCCTCCCATACGGTAGAGTACCTATAATAAAAGTACGGACAACAGAGCCTGAATGAGGCAAAACCAGAAACGCATCAAAACACGAGAGCATTTTCAAATGTGAAGTATAAAACTGAAATTGTATGTACATGTAACTATGGGTGCGTTTAGAAGAACGCAAACATTTTATGAATGTCTGCTGAAATAAGATCATTCCTCTATATCTTAAAATATAATTTAATCAGTGCGAAGAAAACTTCCAACAATCGCAAAATAAATATTCTGCTGAACGCAGAGCGGGAGAAAGTCAATGATTATATAATGAATAAATTAAAGGATAATAATAGAGGTAAATACGTAAATAGAGAGAGAGAGAGAGAGAGAGAGAGAATGAAGTGAAATTTGTTTAAAAATGAATAATATGAAAATAAATGAGCTTAAAAATAAAATATTTCAGGAGTATTAACTATCTTATTAAGAGTATATTTAATTTTTTGTTAGGTATATAAGTACTTTATTATAGTGCATATACAATTCGTCAATTTAAATCCAAAATATCAGTGATGACAGAATTGTATAATAATAAATCAATATACAATTACGTTTTCTCTCTATCTTCATTTTCGCCCTCTTGTTCGTTTTCATACGTCGGCGTTTTGAAGAAATCAATCTGGATAAAATTAAACAAAGAAATTATGTGCATAAATAAATACATACACACACGCGCGAGCGCAAATACATACGCGCGCGCGCGCGCGCACACACACACGCACACACACACACACAAAATCAATGATGAATCATAAAAATCAATCGATGATGAATTATGAAGATGGAAATTAATAAAATAATTTATCTCTCTTGAATGTATAAATTAAGTACCAAGATATTATATATATTTCACGGTAATATTACAATAAAAATTAAAATAGAAATTTCAGTTATATGACAAATAAAAACAAGTATTACATGTCAAATAAAATGTAAATATTAACGCAAATTAACATAATTAATAGTTAAATCCAATAAACATTATTGCAATTATACATATAATAAGCAAATATTAACACAAGTTAATAATTTAAAATGATAAATAAACAAAAAATATTTTAAAATGATAAATAAATAAAAAATTGAAAATAATAAACTCTAATAATATTCTTTGGTTATTACGTATAACAGTATACAAGGAGGGTTCTGGACCACGGATACAGCCGCCTGGCTGCTACCAGGCGG